TTCAGAAATAAAAGAGAGCTAAAAAATACAATTTATTTAGTTATGATCCCATTATAATTATAATAGCCTCCTCGCGGGGTCCCCTGGGTACCGATTTTGCATCGGTAGCTAATTCGAGCGGCGACTTTGTTCTTTATAATTCGAACAAAAATAATATAATAAAAAAAAAAAAAAATAAAAATGAATTAAATGTTTCTTGAAAACAACAAATTTGCACTTTTATTGCCTTAATTTTTTTTGTATTACTTTAAAATAATAATAATTTAATTAATAATTTCAAATATAAAAAATTACATAAATATTTGCATCGACTTAAAAATACATATTTTCTACGGAGCCAACCTCAGTACACAAAATGCATTTATATATCAACATAAATTTGGGTAGGTCGTGAGCACAGAGCCGAAGCTGAGAGCAAATTCTATTTTTAGCTTTTTCGTTCTCTCGGCTGTGAGAGCGCAACGCAACAGATTTCGTTTTCGTTCTCAATTTTTAAAAAAATCAAGCTGCATAGTAGCATTTTGTTGTATGGCGTTACTCATCTTAGTGTTTATATTGTCTTTGGTTCTACTAACCTGTACAAGTGTTATTAACATCATTTGGCTCATAGCCGGCCTTACAACGGCAGCCGCCCGTAAGAATAGTCCATTTCCCATCCCCTTTACATAGGTAGGTTGGTGGCTCATAGGGCTCAGCGTTCTCAACGCAAGTACCATTTTGTTTCTCAATTATGGTTATCTCTCGGCCGGTGGGCGTTTCGTTAAAATGGGCGAAGTTCTCGGTAACAGCTGGACACGTTATATAATAAACTTTAACCGCCAGGACACTTATGCAAGCGCCTTGGTCGCGGAACGCAAAGTAAACACCCTTTTTGCTAACAGCTATACTCTTTACTTCGGTATTTATATCGACATCTGAATTTTGATTAAAGCGTCCTTCACCAGCCGCAATTCTAGCGATAAGTTTATAACTGTCCGTTTGCCATGGTGGAGGCTCTCGAGTTGCTGCATCAAATTCGTAGAATAACAAACTGAACGTTTCCTTGCAGGACAAGGCATTTCCTATAAATTAAATATTGTCAAATCGTTTTAGTTATATCGTATTGCTTCGCAAGGCATTGAAAATATTACAAATTAGTTACCTGGAAATAGCGAACAGTCTCGAATCGTAAACTGTATTTCTATATACAGCCGGTTAGCAGGACCACGGTCAATAAATGGTGACCAAAGCCAATTGTTAACATTGTGATAGGCAACATCGCAAACCACATAGCTCCGCCAGTTAATGCCTTTTACAAAATCTGTAAATGATTCCTCTACCCACTAAATCAAGAGAACAACATAGAAATGCAATACGATTAATATATTGTTTGTTTCTTCTTCTCAATTTTTAATAACAAATTTGAATCGTCTTTTCCGAATTGCAAATATTATAATTTATATAATGTGCTTTACAACAACTTAGAAATGCATTTTTTACCATAAATATATTGCTCTAATATAAATTCTTTTTAATGAGTTTAAGCCCCAGATAAAATCTAAATATCTAAATAAAGATTAAATATGGATGTTCTTGAAGCATATCAAAATCAATATAAATACGAACTTGGAAACAAAAACGAAATCGGAACCCTTGCGCTCTCACAAAGAGCCCGAAATAAAAGCGTAGCTAAGCTTAAATTTATGTTTAAATATTTTGTGTACTGAAATTTTAGTCGGTAGAAAATCCGTATCACAATGGCAGTATTTAAAAAATTATTTTGCATTACATATTGGTGTTATTTCATTAGGTAATTAAATCTTTGTTTTGAATTAAATTATTTCCTAATTTTGGAATTAACATAAAAATTTGTGTTATTAAAAAAAGTGTTACTGCCACTTAACAAATAATCTTTCAATACATTTTTGAATAAACCTATTGAACTATTAAATAAAATAAAAATTGTGTAAAAATACATAAATTATGTAAATATTTCACTCTGGCTTAAAAGATACCGATTTTCTACCTTAGTACGGAAGATATTTAAAGAGAGAAAAGCCACACTGAATATCGTGGAGAGCGAAAAGCCACACTGAATATCTTGCTTCATAATTAAGAACAACGAAAAGCCACACTGAATATCTTGAGTCATAATTAAATGCATGGGCCTTACTCAATGTAAGGTTAATATCTTGTTGTTGTTGTTCTTTAACCCCAACATTGACCTGAAGAAGGCTGTCTTCAAATTAGCATTTATATAAACTTTATGAAATCGGATATTCCACATCTACAGACCTTTGCAGGAAAAAATTTGTTTAAGAGGATACAAAAGTTTGTATACATACGCCTGGGGTTTGGGCCTGCGGACCGTATGGGTATCTTGTCCATTCGAGAGTAGCCTCCCTTGTTGTGTCCAACAAAACGACTACAAATAAGAAAACAATAAAGATGTTAGCTAATTTATAAAAACAGATTTGATTTTTCTTAAATAACTTACCTTGATCAGCGTTGGCAATATTTAAATGATATGCAATGCATATTATCCATATCAACTGAAAAATTGATAATTTACTGAGCTGTCGAGACTCAGTAATATTGCACTTCATCGGCATCGGAATCTGAGACTGTTTTATCTGCACTGGAAATTGTGTGCAAGCGGGTTTATTTTTGGATAAATCCGTATCATGACAATTCTTTTTTATATCGTGTAATCGGAAGCTGCAGTGCTTTGATTGCATTTCTTATTTATGAAATGCACTCTGTATCCTTCAAATATATGTTCACCTCGTTACGAATGTGCAAAACGTATCCAAGTTATAAAATTTTTTTAGTCTGCTTTCGAAGCAACGAATCCAATGAATTCATCTCGATCGTTGTTCAAAAATATTTGCATATTATGGAACTTACACAGCGTGCAGTGTGTGCTGTTGGTAACAAAATTATATGAGTATGAGTATATTTAGAAATTTAATTGATATTGGGATATATCACAACTGTGTTGTGTGATATATAGCCTAACACTCAATGCGTGCGGAAGTCACACTTTTTTTCGACCCTTCGTTCCTCTGGAAGCTATATGATATAGAAGTCCGATGTAGGGAACATTGTAAAACTAATAAATGGCGAGTTTGCTCAAGATATTTTGAAAAACAAAAAAAGTTGTTCATACAAGAACCTACTTTTCGACCCCTCGTTCCTATGACAGCTCTAAGATATAGTGGACCGATCCAGCCGTATCCGACATATGTACTGCCTGCAACAGAAAAAGGGACTTATGCAAAGTTTTCTAACGATAGCTTTAACATTGAGCGACTAGTTTGCATAGAAACAGACAGACGGAAATGGCTATATCGACTCGGCTGCTAATACCGATCAAGAATATATATACTTTATGTTGTCGGAGATGTCTCCTTTCATGCGTTACATATTTCGAGACAATTATATTTTGCAAGGGTATAATGATTTATGATCAATATAAAGCATTCACTAAGTCCTGGATTGTTTACAATTAGTTAGCCAAAAATTTAGTGAGTGACCAAACACTTTAATCCGCTTTCTTTGCTTGGAAGATATAATAAATCTCACTATGAGCGTAAAAGTCCTTTTATAAAATTAGTTTTCTTTTAATATTGGCTACATACCATTGAAATCTTACACACACATATATATGAAAACGAATATACACATATGAACATTTGTGTATGTATGAACGCATGTATATATATATTCGACTTATTCCCACTAAGTCGCTAGTTGTACTTTCAACTATTGAGGTCCAAATTGACTTCGGTTTACTATATATGTTACCTTATTATGAACAAAATAGTTTTAGAGTTTTAATTGGAATTTTGTAAACTAAAAATTCACACGCGACACACACACATTTTGTATATGTATATGTAAATAAATACATACGTATGGCGTGTATGTGTTAATGGACTCATTCACTATTTCAGCCTGATTGCAAGTTTATTAAAATATAATGTTTACTTGAATAATGGTACCACATTTTTTAAATTTATCACATAAAACCGCTTTTTTTTTTGCAGTTTTTGAGTTATATTTGTTTTTGCTTTTGCTGATGCATATAGGTATATGTACATATAAATCTCTAAAAAAAAAGCGACAGTGTTGCCACACTGGACACTTTTCAACGTTGTTGAGTGGACCGCTTTCTTGTGTTTTCCAACATTACAAAATTCTGCATGCAAACGATAGCTCGTTGCTATGAACACCACTTTATCGATCAGTACCTTATCGACAATTCTTTCTGCTTTAAGCCATCGATTTATATAAGATATAATTTTAAACAGGTCACCCTGACAATAGAACAGTTTTTGAGAAAATTATTTAATTGTAAGCTAACCTCAAGTAGTTTGTCAAAAGGTCTATGGAATTGTTAGTTCCTTCGGGAACTAAACCACTTACATTTAGGGCTGAAAAATTTATTAGAGTAATGGGCGGGAACCATGCAATTCGGATTATATGAGGATACTCATAAATAATCGACTTAATTAGACAAAATCAGGCCAGCGTCAACCGTGTAGTTTTTAAGAATCCAAGCAGCAAATCATTTCTTGTTGTTACGATTCTGTATTTAAATTTATTTTGGTGTGTTATTCAAAAGCTCAAATAAATTTATTTATAAGTGAGTGACTCCGGCTCCGGAACCAAGTTCCAAAAATCGATACTAGATCACTAATTTGACACACGTAAATTCGTTGTGCATTAACTATAACGCGCGTCTCTTGTTTTTTGGACATGGACGCGTCTATGGACGCGAGCATAGAATGAATGAAAAAATAGATAGTCAAAAATAATATTCAATATATTAAAAATATTATTGAACTTTTCAACAGTTTTATTATGTTGAATGCAGATATAGGTACAAACTAGCCATTTCGATTTGAAATAGTTTAATTACCGATTCCAAAGTTCGTTCACTTTGCAATTACAGTGTGACCAAGCGTTGCTTTGTCGAATATGCAGAAAAGCATCTAGGCGGACTTGAAAAATCAATATAATTCACATTACATTATTTTTGCAAATTGTTAGTTCGTTTATAAACTAAATTCGAAGTCGGAGTAAAATTTCACTCAAAAGGTGCGAAACGTAAATTAAAATTGTGAGTTTAATACAACAGTTTAAGCCGTGATTTGTGTAAGTCGTTACGCATGTTCACAAATAAATCATATATAATTTTTATAAAAAAACATATTTACATATTATGTATATATACATATACATATATATAATGTATATATATAATATACATTTATATACCTAACAGATTGCGGTCTTAAAAGTGCTGAGCACGACATGCATGACGAGTGTACATATGTATATATTACATACATGTATGTATGTATGTATCTGTTCACATTCATATATTAGTTCAAGTTTAGCAAAATTAATCGATTGTGCTTTACGCAAGACTTCACGTACCTTTTAACTTTAATACACACAGATTTGTAAACTATTATAATGTGTATTGCTTCAATCACGCTGTTTACTTAAAACGTACAAATGTAAACAAAAATGAGACTACATTAAAATATCTGTATGTATATGCACGCATAGGTACGCATAAACATTTGTGTATTATGTTTAGAAACAGAGATTACAAATTTTTTATAAAATATAAAAATAGTAAATTTCAAAAGAAATGAAATTAAACATACAAATAATTCCTTTTTGCAGTTGATACATACAAAAACAATACATACATACGCTTTGTGAACACCAGTCTGCTCACATTTCACCCATAACGGAACTGTTAATATACATATGTATGTACTAAGTCTGTGTTTAGGTATGTATGTGTGTGCATACTATGAACAATGCGAACAAAATTAAAGCCTAATCAGCTCCTTTGTCACCTTTGACTCTTACAAAATAATTGCATATTTATTCATGTACTATATATATGTATATACACGCAATCCATTTGTCGTGAGCGAATGTGTGAAACAGATTAAAAAAAAACAAATACAAATATTTGATTTTTGATAAGACGCTCTAAATATCCCTGCATTTGAAGGAGCTATGGATGTTTAAAGACAAACATTTTAGAGGGTATTATATATATATATATATAATATATGTATGTATCAAATCTTGACCAAATTCGGCATTTATTAGTTTCACTAATTTTTCTACATATAAGAGAAATCATATTGAAATCGGGCATTATAACATATCTTCTCGACATCATGTAGGGTATTTGGTTTTCGGCGTGTCAAAGTCACATTTTGCCTAAAAATGAAATCTACGGCATTCCCAAGATAATTGTTCTACCTCGCTTGTTCGGTTATATAAATTGTATATACATTTTTCCAATTTCCATGATATTTTGTCGAACGACTGTGTATACAAACATCTGGCATATGTCTGCAAAATTGTTTTTGTTTCAAAACCTCCCGATTTTTCGTAGTTTAACCCACACAGAAAGGGCTATCTTTGGCACGCCAAATATTTAATAATTGCAGACCCATCCTCTTCATAATGCTCATAATGCTTTGCGCGAATATAGGAAGCGCAGCGAAAATAGTTAATGCCGAGTATAGTTAAGATATCTTAAAAACATAAGGTTTTTTATACAAGAAACTATGTAAATAAATAAGATTTTGCATAAAGGGGTATAGTGAATAAACAAAAAAATGTTCCATGCAAATGAATTTTTGACGGATTGTTCCAATGACAACTATATGATATAGTGGTCCAATGTTGGCAGGATTTTGTATATATTCCTCAGAGTTAAACTAATAAATGCCGAGTTTGGTCAAGATATCTTGAAAAACAAAAAAGTTTCCTATACAAGAACCTACTTTTCGATCGACAAAATTGTAATACCCTCTGCAAGGGTATTAAAAATTCAAATAAGCAAATTGAAAACGGATCCAATCGAGTATGCAATATTTCCGTTAAAATGGAACAGACTTTCCGGTCCGAAATGGAACAGACTTATTTTGACTATGGGATTTGTGGCTCCAACTTTCAAAAGTAACTAATTGATTTTCCATTTTCGATTTGAACAAGAACACATTAAAAGGAAATTAATAACAACGCGGCGGACGGCTCAAAATTCAATATTAAATATATATATATATATATAAATTAAACACGTAATCGCTCTGGCAATCTCTGATAGATCCTAAATGTTCTATGCATTTCGACATGGGTGAAATTTTTAAGTTGTTTACCTCACTCCGGCTTTCATTCAAAAATGGTTTGGTTCGCAGAGAAAGAGTTCCAAAATCAAGGCATTTTTAATAAATGCCAATCAGAAATTAGGTACAGAATGAATACAGCCAAATCTAGGCCCAGTACCTATATAAATATATCAAAATATGATATTTTAAAATTATTTGCACAAATGTTTTAAACAAATCATTTTGCGTAGTGTTAATTGTTAACTTTCTGATTGTTTCACACTTAGCGGGAGACGTCTGCTTCAACCGAATTTTCGCACTATAGTTGTGGGGAGCTAAATGTACTAATTGTTCAAAAATTTCGATGATATTTTGATTGAATCAAATTGAAAGCTATGCCACTGTTTGGCAAAAAAGATTCTGGCAAAAAGCCCAAAACCAAGGATACGAAGGAGCTAAACAAACAGATGTCAATTGACGAAAAGTACAATCTCCATGGGCTCCTGGGAACGTGCGTAGTATTTATTTTTAACCGATGTATATTTTATTTCTATTAATATTATTTCGATTAATAGGGGCGCATTCTCGGAGGTACGCTTAGCCGAAAGTAAAGATACGCCGGGCGATCATTTTGCGGTAAAAATTATTGATAAAAAAGCCCTAAAGGGCAAAGAGGAATCGCTGGAAAATGAAATACGCGTACTGAGAAGGTGAGTTTTATTATATTAAAATATATTTAATATATTTAAGCGAATCCAACTGGCTTGTCCGTATAAATGCAGTTTTTTTTTTGGGCATATTGCACTCGGTTCAGAGTGTTGGGATTAATTTTAAGTACATTACCCCGTCTTAACCCGGCAAATTCCACTACATGAAACTTTTTCGTTTACCATCCGATCGGCTTCGAACTCATTTTCAACGATCCTGTTTTACAATTTTCCGGAAAATCCACCCCACTTGGCGGAAAAATGTGGGTCAAAGATAGTATGAACGGAAAGTTTATATTGGGATCAAGAGCGAAAGGCGCTGATTCCAACATTTCAGGTTCTTAATTCAATGAAACTCACTTGCAAATATCTTTTTAATAGTTAACTTGAGATTTAAAAGGCGTAAAATATAAATGTATAATGTATATTCAAAGCCCGAGAAATATTATGCTCAAGAAAAAAAATATTAAGGGGTCTATCATTGCCAAACAATTGAATACTGAGCCTTAGTCACATAATTTAGATTCACATCATTTATATCTATTGTTATTGTTTTTAATTTTTGTTTATTATATAATAAATATTATATTTCTGCTTATGTTTGCATGCTCAGTAGCGGAGCCCTCAAAAGTTTTGGATCCAGAGTATACATAATGTACTTATGAGTTATGAAAACGCGTAACTTATGAAGGGCATAGCACGAGAATGTGGACTTTAAAGCGCACAATCTTATTGTTTGCATATCAATTGTAAATCTAGAAATATCTTTATTTTTTCTTTGTGTTGTTTTCTTTATTTCATTTTTTAAATATTTTCTTCATTTAATCTACTTTCTTTCTATGTAGGTTTAGTGCAAATCATTTCGATGGCAACAGTCCGAATGGAACGCGGTGAGTTGTGACCCCGAAAACTTCCCGTCTTGGAATCAAATGAGATATAAGTATATCTTGAACCAGTCAGCGATATAATTATATTATATTTCGGCCAACTCCATTCTCTGAGAAATTTATTATTTACATACTCAACGGAAGTAGGGTCCAATCAAGAGAATTATGAGAAATTAGCAGTAAAATGTGTAACCCCTTGTCAAATCTTAAGATATATATATTTCGTGTTTTTAAGCGCCGATAAAATGCGTTTTTTATGAATTAATTCTCGCCATATTCTATTTACAGGCTGACTCATCCGAATATAGTCCAACTCCTTGAAACATACGAAGACAAGGCTAAGGTGTATCTGGTCATGGAATTGTATGCTTTGCACTTAGCTTGTATTATTAACTGATTTCATATTATTAACTGAATTGTTTCCATATATATATATATAGAGTGACAGGTGGAGAATTGTTCGACCGCATAGTTGAGAAGGGATCCTACACAGAGAAGGATGCATCTCACTTAATAAGACAAATCTTAGAGGCTGTAGACTATATGCATGAGCAGGGAGTAGTACATAGGGATCTCAAGGTAAATAACATGTCTTACTTCTTGATACAAATAAATTGAAATTTTGAATTCAATGCAGCCCGAAAACCTACTATACTATAGTCCAGATGATGACAGTAAAATAATGATAAGCGATTTTGGCTTATCGAAAATGGAAGATTCTGGTATCATGGCAACTGCATGCGGAACTCCAGGATATGTTGCGCCAGAGGTGCTGGCCCAGAAGCCATATGGCAAGGCCGTTGACGTTTGGAGCATAGGCGTTATATCCTATATACTCCTTTGTGGATATCCTCCATTTTACGATGAAAACGACGCCAATTTATTTGCACAAATTCTTAAAGGTTTGTTTGTTTTAATCGATCTATTCGATTTGACCTTTTCAGCCGACCCGTCTGTCCGCCTGCGTCCGAATGCGTCGCTTCGATCTCGGAAACAACAATAGCTAGAAACTTAATTTTTAAAATTTATATTCTCGTATAACATACGAAGATCGAGTTTATCATTTTTTGTCCATGCATTTCACATTATCTCTAGAAAAGGTAGAACACCAAACTTGGTATATTTCATATTTCATATCATATTTTTGTCATTTATAGGTGAATTTGAATTTGATTCGCCATATTGGGATGAAATAAGCGAGTCGGCCAAGCATTTTATCAAAAATTTAATGTGTGTCACTGTAGAAAAACGCTATACATGCAAACAAGCACTGGCACATCCTTGGTGAGTCAAATAAAATGGATAAGTCTGTTTAAGTTAGTAACATTAAATAATTTAAATATTTCCTATAGGATATCTGGAAATGAGGCCAGCAGCAAGAACATTCATGGCACTGTATCGGAGCAGTTGAAGAAAAACTTTGCCAAAAGTCGATGGAAGGTGGGTTCAACTAAATTTTGCGCCTGACTATCTTTGTTAATATTTCTAAATACTTTAGCAAGCATATTACGCTGCGACAGTAATCCGACAAATGCAGCGAATGGCGCTTAGCAGCAACAGCAGTGCTTCAGCTTCCACTCTAAATATATCTACTGACAATGGTAATGGCAAAATCTGTGTTAAATCTGAGACAGAAGCTACCGCTTCCATTCAACCAGCCGCGGCGGCGGCGGCGGCACTCTCAGCCTCAAGCACATCGTCTGTGAATGAATCAGCACAACCCTTAAGCCCACATAACGACATCAATAATCACCAAAGAATCTCGCCAAATTGTAGTTTCAGCGGCCAAGCGAACTAAGTTTACGCACACAAAATTTTATGATGAATGGCATATGTACTCTGATAAAAACACCTAGTCCATTAATGCAAAATATGTGCACTCGGACGGCGTTATATAGCTATTGCCACTTTATACCAATTGGTTACTGCAAAACGACGACGTACAAATATTCTATGTTCGCCACGTCCATCGTACTTAGATAGTTTTAAGTCAATCAAGCTTGAACCTAACGCACATATGTTTGTTTTTTCGTTTTTAAAAATTATTTTTATACACAACCTATTGTTAGTATATCTCAATATTGTTATTTAAAAAATGTTTCCGGACTAACTCTTGTAAATTGGTTTTCTGTAGTTATATGAATTTAAAATTTTGTCAACGTATTCATTAAAATTAAATATTTTGCTTAAACAACTATTTTGCGCAGCTTTTTGTACTTGTGCTCTAACACGATTTCTGCTTGTTTTTTATGCAAATAACCCGCCGATGTTTATTCTGTGGTGTCAATGTATTTAAATGATGCATTAAAACAAGTGTTTTGTAAATAATAATTAAAAATTTTTCAAGGATCGGACCTTTAACGTGGAAACAGACAAGAAGACCGCTGCGAGAAATTGTTGTATGGAATGGTCCCCAAGATCTTTTTTGTGAAAATTAATTTGAGGCGTTTTTCGCATAATAAAAACCTATTTGCACATTAATGAAACTTTTGCATTCACTTTTCTTTTATTTATAAACATTTTTGTAACATTTTTATTATATCAATATTTATTTATATTTTTCCATATTTGAAAAGCAAAAATAATGAAGAAATAAAGTTTGAATATACGCCTAAAGGGATTCATAAATAATGCACGAATTCAAACTTAATCTGGTGATAATTTGTGGACTTTATGAACTTAAAACTCATTTCTTTTTGGTTCGCTTTTTTTTCTTATCTGATCCATTTACCTTTTTTTTGGTTATGCAAACGCGACAAAACCAATCCTCATTGTCATTTGGAGCAACAAGAATACCCACACAAGTCCTAAATTATAAAACGATTATTAACAATAAATGCAAAACATATATATTTGGGTAAAGAACTTACCAATGGTACCATGCATCGCAGCCATCGCATCCGATCATTGCAGAGCCGTCATCAACTTTTCCACATGCGGGGCAAATCCAAATGCGATAGCCGTCGGCATCAACATACGATGAGGGTCGATTTAATTCCGAATTTGGAGGCAATGTCTGAGATCCTTCAGATAGTTTTGGTGAAATACTTGATGCCGCCACACTGGGAATAGTTGTGGACAAGGAGGAAGACGACGATGGCATTTTTGGGATTTGTTTGGATGGATGCAGTAACTGTTGTGGCAACAAAACAGAACTAGCTGATATTGTGGATGTAGAAGGAGGATTCGACATCCAACTGGGTGAAGTTGCACTTAAGATTGGGGCCTGTGTACTCGGCATTGACATCATGGCTGGCATTGTCTGTGTTTTACTAGTATTGGGCACAGAAACCAAAGCAGATGTCGCCATAGATAAGTTCAAGGTTTGTGATTCACCTAAAACAAGATCACCATTAATTAAACATCATTTGTATTTATGTGATGAGAATTTGATTGCCTACATTGCTTGGGCTTTGGGGGTCTAGTGACAAGTGGTGAGAAGCGAGCTAATTCTGGAGAATGTTCCCTTTTAGTCCGATTGGGAGTCTGAGGCGTCAAATCAGAGATTGTTGATATCTCACGATCGCCCTCAAATAACGATTGAGTGGGCGTGCCACTAAGCTTAAGTGTCAGTTTCGGCACCTGGTTAGGTGAGAGATCTAACTTGGGTGACACCAAATGATGTGTCACTGGTGTTTGGGACACAGTTGCTGGCAAAGAGTCTCCAGGTGGGACGCCGACGGAGCCTAAAGCCATGGTTTTTGAATGATGAATACCGCTTTCCAGATTTTCTTTGGGAATCTGTAATTCGTCTGGCGGCACCTGCAATTGAATGTTGAAATCAGTTTAAATCACCCAAACATGACCTTAAAAATTTATCTATTTTAATTTAAATATTTCTGCTGGATGTTTCTAATATTCTATCGCGATTTGTTTTTCAAGCAAGTCAAGATGATTCATTGTTTTGATGAATATTTTTCAAATATTTATTTTAAAAATTCTTTTTTAATTACCATCCAGTCGCCCTTAAACTCATTTTCAAAGCTCAGCTTTGGGAAAATCAATTCCACCTTGGTGAAAATAGGGGTAAAAAATTTAATTCGAGACATTTTTAATATTTTTTCGCAGAATCCAAGCTTCTTATAAGATGGAAAATACGATTAAACGATTTTCTTGGGCGAAGTTTTTCAGCGTGGAAATTCCACTAATAGTGGAAAATTTGCAACTGCAGTTGGATGGAAAATGCGGGTTAATGGTTTATTGAACGATAGTTTATTTTTCTCACCACAAAACTAACATGGAATAAGCCGTTGATTCCATATTTTCTTTAGTTGAAGGACTTAAAACATATTTTCAAATATAAGTGGATCTCAAGATAGAATTGGGGTTATTTAAATTTTCTCTTTGGGAGATGGGTGAAAAAGTTATATCGCAAAAGCTTCGCATAGGCAAGGCCGTGAATTTTCGGTTAGCAAGATTTTTGAATAATTACCTGTTTTTCCTTTTTTTTATCCCTTTTCTGCTTCTTGTCTTGACTTTTAGGTTTATCGACATTCAGCGTATTCCTCTCGTCACATTTTTCCTTATTTCTGACTTTGTCTTTTTTATCTTTCTTCTTTTTGATTTTGCCCTCTTTCGGTTTTTTAAGTTTCTTGTGAAGCTTACGTATTTTCAGTTGTTCACTTATCGACAAACTATTCGTTGGGGTTATTGTGACATCGTCATAATTCAGAGAGCCAATAAAGTGCTGCTCGGGAGCATCAGAAGCCGCATGAATCGGCACTGATCCAGATGTTGCACCGGCCGCCAGACTTGTAGCTGGCACGGTTAAAGATGAGTACGCCATGCCACTATCGACGCGAGACAAAGGTATCAGATCGGCGCCGCCGGCTAGGCTAAATTTATCATTGCCCATAAAATTGATGTTAAATGGTGTTGGATTGGCGGCCGATAAATTGCTGTCGGGTTGTGTAACTTTCAAAGCTGCCGGCTTAGCTTGTTTGTTGAACTGTATACCGTCAGGTATTGGGGAATGCAAGGCGGATGCGTTCATGGCATATAGATGCGAGCTTTCAATGTGCTGCATTTGTCCAGAATTTAATAGATTCGATGACTGAATTAAGCCTGATTTGAGAGCATGTGCTTGTGGGTAGCCGGAAACTTGTTGACTTTTTTTCGTTGCCTTGGATTCGTCATCGTTCGAGTCATCTGATACTTCGATGGGGTCCCCAACGTTGCCCGTGGCAGCTGGTGCAGGCTTGATAGCTTTAATGGATCTATCAATTTTGTTAGTCTGTGTTTCATCCGCTATGCCCAATAGTCCGACTCCCTTGGCGACAGGCATTACATTCGAAATGGGCGAAGTGTGACTAATGTCTTTTTCACTGTATTCATGGCTTAGCTTCGCATCGGGCGCAAAACCATGTGGCGATCGGAGTTTATTGGGTGCAATTTGCTGCTGATTTGACAATTTCATTGAATCGGGCACCAGAGGAGCCACATTGCAATAGCTGCGCTCCAAGTGGATATCCGAAAGCGGCAACAGACCCAAAAGTGCCGCTTTATTATCTACAAAATAAAATATGCATCTTTTGACATTCGAAAATATTGCAAAGAGATTCTTACCAGTCGCCGTCGTCGTCTCAAGCGAGGGTCTGGACCGACTTGGAAATGGCATAAATGGGTTTGGCATCATCATCTTTGAGCCCGTACTACAAGCAACCGTTTTATTGAAACTTGTTAAGTTTGGTGCAAAGAGACCAGGTCCAGATGGTATAAGGCCGGGACGTGGCGGAAAATGCAGCAGCGGCAGTATTGGCATCATATTTGCTTGGCTATTTGGATGCAATGCTGCTGAATTTGGGGGGAAACTTGATGGCCCCGAACTGGCCACAAAACTATTACTATTACCAATCAACGGTGGGGATACGTCGAGAACTCTGTTTTTAGTACCTCCAGGCAACTTATCTGATGGAATTTGTATGTTGTTGCTGTCACCGATTTCCAGCTTTGCTGGAAATGAGCCATTTTTCGATATCTGCTTCTCTGTATCCATTAAACCGAGCTTTTTGTTGTCCACAATATTGGCGTCCATATTAATATATTTTGCTTTACTCTTTTTTCTATCCTTTTTCTCTTTGACTTTCTGAAATTTCAGGCTCGTCTCACTGAATGTGCCAGGATAAGGCTCAACGGCTGTATTTCCAGCGCTGACATCGGCGAGAAATCCTGAAAAATTGCCGCTCCTCAATTGATCGACGTGGCTCAAATTTAGCGGCTCCATTGGTAAGGCTAAAGTTGCTGAATTGTCAATTATAGGCACAGGGTCCGCTGTGTTATATGCATTTAATTTTGCGGCCTTTGTTTTTTTTGGCGATTGCATGGGTGCCGGTGCGAGGCCAGTTGGTGGTGCCAGTGACCTGGCTTGATTTTTGCCACCTGGCTTACGACCGCGTTTTCTCGGCTTATTCATATCGATGCCCATAAGATTGGCAGCCGTTGGAGACACAGTCGATAAGTGTCCAAAAGGCTGCATATAATCGTATGTGGCCATACCATTACCCACTGACATGCCCAGACTGTGCAGTGGCATACTTACATTTTCGGTGGCGCCAGCCGGTGGAGCTGGCGTTATGGTTGTTCCGGATGGTAGCGTTATCAATGGCGATACGTTGTTACTGGGACTTTCAAAGAGATTTGTGCCAATATTTAGTGGGTTTGGCGATACTGGTTTGGGCGCCTTTTGTTTGGATATTTTTTTAAAAATATTCAATTTGTTTCGGTCCGGTTCGCTTGCCAGTTTGATTTCCTCGGTCAGCGAAGCATCCGCAATGGTGCTCGCAGAGGTAAGTGACAAATTGGTTTGAAATATTTCTTTATTTTCGACCAAACCAACAACATTTTCTGCTACTGCCGTACTGGCTGCCAATGGGTGTGCGGATGGTGCCAAAGTTGGCTCAAGATTTGCACTGGATTCGGGAGCCAATGCTATGGGATTGACTGCACCTTTGGCTAGCTTGGACATCGATGCAAATTGCCGCTGTTGCTTTTGGCTCTTTAGGTGTTTTTGACGTTGCTTCGTTTGCTTTCTAATTAATTTTTCTAGCTGCAGCCTCTCGGTTGAGCCATCCGGCAAGGCCGACAACATGCCGCGATTTAAATTTTTCATAGATTTTTTTAGTTCCATAATGTTGCCACCGCCGTCAGCCTGATTCTTGGATAACTTCTGATAGATTTTTAAAGC